TATCCATCCATCCATCCATCCATCCATCCATCCATCCATCCATCCATCCATCCATCCATCCATCCATCCATCCATCCATCCATCCATCCATCCATCCATCTATGCATAAAGTACTGGAAGTGACAAAACAAACTGTACCAAACACAATCTTAACACAGCAGGCAGACAACAGAATCACTTAAAATGCATTGTTCCAGCAAAACAGGAAGACGAGGTAAAAAAAGTCAAAAAAGAAATAAATGTGGATTATAACACAATGTGACTTTGTGAGTTGTGAACACACGATGGTTCGGTTCATTACCTGACCCGCCACTTGTCGAGAGAAAGCATCCACCAGCTTCTCCACACCGTGGCGTGTGAGGACGGACGTGTTGAACAGGAACTGTGTGTATGAAAGCTCCTCTCCGTTTATGTGGAAGCTGTCGGGCATCAGAGGGTGCCAGTGGTAGAGCTGGCTGAACTCCAGCGCGATGCGGTTCCCGTACTGGAAATGAGAGTGAAACAGCAGGGTGGGGTCAAACTTCAGCTGCAGAAGGTAGCCGCTCAGGTGCTGCACGTACTCCTCTATCACGATTCGAATGGTCTCGCCTGCAGAGACACACAAACAGTTGAAATTAAAACATCCAACCTGAAGCAAATGAGGTCAAATCCTCAAACCGACTTTAGGTGAATACACAATAAGCACTTTATACAAAGAGTTAAATTAACTGATATTATGGGAGTGTGTTTTATGTGAAAGCTCACAAATTCTTTATCTTTGTGTTTAGGCCTGGATAAACAACAAATCAATTAATCAATTAATCGCCTGATAAATGAAAATTATCGACCTCGTTTTCGTTTATCGGCTTTATCGTTTCTTCACGTCTCTCTCTTTCTACTGAAGACACTGGAAGACAAAAGGCTCAACTCCGGTGCTCTTCACTGACCCCTCCCTTTCTTTTTAAAACTGGTATTAATCGTCCAAAATCAAGTTTTTGGATCGTTAAAAGCAGCTAAGCTACGAGCTAAGCTAGCAGGTCGACCTCGAGAAAAAAACTCAGTTTTGTCGAAGCTCCAAAATTCACGGTTGAAACCCGTGCCTTTGTGTAAAAAGTTGTTTTTCTCTGCAAAAAGAAGCTGAGAACTGATTTTTTTTTTTATTAAAAGCTTTGTGTGACAAATGCTATGCTAAAGAGCTCAAACCACACCGAGCGTTCAACATTATGAGAACTGAAAAACAGGAAGGAGAGACAGCCCATGTCACGTCAAGAGGCTTCCCTCCCTTTTTTCTTAGAGACACGCTACTCGCTCCCTCACTATCCATCCTTCGTTTCAGTCTTAAAATGCCATCCAGTGGTCTTAAAAGGTACTACATACAAAAATTAACTAACATTTCTTCTTAAATTTGACAATAATTAGTAATTATTGTCAAATTTCGAACAATATTATCGTTTATCGCAATAATTTTTGAGACAATTTATCGCCTGGCAAAATTTGTTATCGTGACAGGCCTGTTTGTGTTTATTCTGCACATTTAATGATGCCAGATTGCTGGACAGCAAAAAAATAAATAAAAAAAATGCAGTTCAGAACCAATAACTGCTGCATCTACAGAACAAATATACAAACAAATCCATCCATTTGATTAAAAAATACAGATCAAACAAGTTTTTTTTGTTTTTTTTTTCACAGTAAACATTCATTTTAGTTGCCACAAGTCATCGGATAATGAAATCAGGCAACGCAAACATGATAAATACACAGATTTATAAGTGAGTTTATAACAGTGAAGATCATGCTCCAAGGTGCTAACGCTCTTTCAGGGCTGCGTTGGGCTCACCGATGATGATGAGACGTGATGTCTGGAAGAGCTGCTCGTCGTCCCAGGTGGGATGCTCGGCTCTCAGGATGTCACAGACCCGGTTGTGCTCTCTGAGCCACAGCGTGGCGTACAACCCCAAACCAGGTAGGAGTCCAAACACCTCCTGACCGATGGCCATCTGAATATGGGCGGGGACATCAGGAGGGTAGCTCATCCTGACGGGAGCATCAACCACAGAGGGAGGGAACATCTCTCCATCAATTAACTGATGGGGAAGTCAAAAAGAATTATAGTTAAATGCGATTACGTTATTGTAAAAACGTCACTGAGCTTTCCTGAGGCGTTTTAGAGTGATTGCACTTCAGCTATTGTTTCATCTTGTTCACCTGATATTTCAGTTTTCCATCTTTGAAAAGCCTCAGATGGAGCTGGCGTTCCAGGCTGTCTCCATAAATGTGTCCTGCGTCCACCTGCATAAAAACAATATTAATAATAAAGTTTGTTAGACAACACAGAGCTACCACTAGAGTCTGTTCACAGGAGGAAAACTATCGGCAAGCATCTATAGCTTTAAAATGAATTCTTCTTTTTGTTTCCTTCGTAGAAAAATACATTTAATTTAATTATTGAATAATTGTCATTAGGTGACCTGCAGCAGCAGGACATGCTGTAATGCTTCATATTCCTTTATACACAAACTGACCCCGTGTCCCAGAGCCTTGGTAAAGCCCAGCCCCATGCGGTTATAGGTCTTGAAGAACTGGTGCGTGAAGTGCTGAGCGAAGAACGCGAACATGAGGTTGGTGCCCTGGGGGTCGGGTCTGAACGTCCTTCTTTTCAGCAGCTTCTCCACCAGCACCTCGGGGTCAGGCAGCCCGTTTCTGCCTGAACAAAAAGAGAAACAAAAACTTCAGATGTAAGAGAGGACAGCGCACGACCTCTTCTAATCCTCCCTTTCTTTTATACCACTACAGTGAAACGTTGGGTTTCAGTTGAACGAAGCTGGACATAAAACACGTTCTGAACAAATATATGATAGAATCCAGTCCACCACTCAGAAGGCTTTTTAGGTTTTATTTTGATGCACATAAACTATTTCATATTTATGTAAGCTTCAGTAGGTCTATGGATTATTGAATTCCATAAAATGTAAAAAGTTCATTATAGACATTTTATAATTGAAGCTAAAAAAAAAAGAACATGAACACTTTAGAAGAGGCACCGCTCATGGGTCAGTTGCAAGACTAAAGGTGAGTTTATTACATGCAAAATTGGGAATCAATCTTTAAAACTCTAAATCAAAACCAAATAAATACAAGAATGTCATTAATATGCACATTGCATAATGATACAACTAGAAGATTGAGAGGCTTCAGAGAATGATCCCACACTAAGAAAGAGCTGCAGCAGGTAAGATCTGCTGAAACCACTGAACACAATTTGCTACTATAATTAACAAAATTAGCTTAAAATTCTATTGAAAAAAGAAAAGGCCTGCACATTGTATTGTTTATGGGTGCACCAATCACAGAACTTTATAACCAGTAAAGGTTTAGACTGTTTACTGCAGCTGTTCAGGTGACACTTTCATCAAGATGTCACCTGCTTACAGAGGAGCGCTGGGAGAGCAACCATTTATCTTGGGGGAAAAAGTCGTATTTTCCTCCAGTAACAAATATATTTCCAGTATATGCAGTCCTAGTTGCACATTTAATGGAAAACATTAGACTTAGGTCTGACCTTTGACCCCCAGCGGTGTGGGGCAGTCCTCAGGAACAGGGGGCAGGAGCCGAGTGTAGTAGCTCAGGTTGTAGTAGGACTCCCAGCTGAGGTAGCCATACTTCGAGTTGTAAGTCGGAGGGATGGGTATCAAGTTGGACCTCACTGGTGATGGAGAGGAAGGGGTTAACAGGAATTAACAAGGTGTGTTGGTGGTCCTCAAGGGTCTGTGGAAGAACTACTGACTCTGGACCTGTTAAAACCAGCCGCATGAGCACGTTCCGGAGAAAAGTGTTGTTGATGACGTCCCAGAGCCAGCGGAAGTGGGTGAGGATGTAGTGAACCTTGTCTGGACCGGGCCTGAGGAACTGACGCACTCGGGTCCAAAGCTCAGCTGTAGTTAACAACAACAACAAAAAGGGAGTGTTTATGTAAAGTACGGATGATTTGTATAGTTATAGTAGATATTTAGTCCACGTTATTCAGGGACATTTCACAGGGTTGGCTTTCTAATGCTGCCTGCGTCTTTATATCCACAAAGGGTTAAGGAACCAAGCTGAACAATATTCCACCAGTGTTCAGTAAGATCCAGCTGGTTAGTAAAACAAACAACAACAAAAAAAGCTTTTAAACTAATTTCCTCCATTTTAATAATAATAAAAAAAAAGACAGAGGTTATGATCTTTAAATCCTACAAATAACCCCACCTTTGATATTTTTCCGCCTTGGCCTCATATGAAAATCCATTTTGACAAATTTAGGAGTGAAAATGGACCCCTGCCTGAAACTTGACAGCCATGTCAACAACCACTTAGAGACAGTAATCCACGCTTTTATTACTTCACGTCTGGATTATTGTAACGCTCTTTTGATCGGCGTTAGCCAGGCCTCGCTCTCACGCTTACGGCTGGTACAAAATGCTGCTGCATGATTTCTGACTGGTGCAGGCAGGCAGGAGCACCTGACTCCAGATCCGATGTCCCTTCATTGGCTTCCTGTTCAGCTTTGAATCCATTTTAAAGTTATATTGTTGGTTTTTAAGTCTTTGAACGGTTTTAGTTTCTCTTATATGTCTGAACTGCTTCACCTTTACATGCCATCACGTGCTCTTAGATGCTTTTAGCAGTCCCGAAAATCTTTTATAAATCCAGAGGAGACACAGTGTTCTCAGCTCTGGCTTCTAAATTGTGGAATGAGCTGCCGCTGAAGGTCAGGCAGGCCCCACATCACTTTCTGTTTTTAAAACTTGCTTAAAACACTCTTTTTTTTTTTTTTTGCCCTTTGGCTTTTAACCTAGAGTGAGCTAGCATCTGTATCTTTTATTTGTGATGTTCGGATTTTTATTTTTTTAGATGTCTTATTGTTGGCTTTTTTTGTACAGCACTTTGATGCTGTACAAAATGATGCTGTTTTGACCATTAAATAAACGCATAATAAACGTGACGGGTCAGTGGTGATGTATAATAAATGCGACTTATGCACCGAAACGACTTACCGGTATATATATATATATATATGTCTTTTTCCTCTTTTTTTGACTGATGCGATTTACACGCCGGAAAATAGGGTAGCTGTTTGGTTAGACACCAACGTCCTCACTTCAAGCAACACGGGATTCCTACAAAGCCCCTCTACATCTGAGAGGGAGCTAAAACAATATGAGTCGAGCAGTTTCACTCACGTCTTTGCCAAAGTAATCATCATCTGCTGCCTTAAAGTTAGAGACTGGAGGTAACATTACAATTAAATCTGTCTGAGTCATATAAAACATTTTTGGAGTCATCCAAACCTCTGCAGGCTTTACAAGCTGAGGATCTGCACATTTAAAAAAAATATTAACGAAAAATCAATTTCCTGATGTTGTTTTTCTTGTTTTTTTACGTGGCTACGCCTTAGTGGGCACTTCACAGATGAGTAACATTTGGCTCTGGAGGTGCATACTGTCAGTCTAGGTTACATAAAAAGTGAAAACATTATTTTATGTAACCATGTCCTGCAGTTCCTGTTTTAGTTGATCTCTCCCTTCATTCCTTCCTCCCACGTTTGCTACTCTACTTTCCAACTGAAGGTAATTATTGCTATGCATGATGCAACTGGGCTGGGGTGGGGGGTTCTCCTGTAGAACAGATCAGCACCAGACCGCTACTGGCAGTTCCACCAATTTTCCCAGATATTTATGTCTAGACAAGAAGCTTTAACTCTGTGAGCCAGAAGCTCCGAGGCTGGTTTAACAAAATGAAAGTGTCTTTAAAAAAAAAAAAACATCCAAATCTTATTGAATAAAATGTTTCAAATTCTTGTGAAGTGTAATAATAAAGGAGAGGATATGAAGTCATGTGGACTCACGGATGGTGCAGTTTGCTCCATAGTAGCCAGTGTGGGTGCAGTCACACTCGTATTTGTCCTCGCCAAAGCGCACGCACACACCCCAGTGCTGACAGGGGAGATAACAGCAGGGGTTCACTGTGGAAAATGAGAAGGAAAACTATGAAAGATTGTAAATGAAGTGTAAAAATAAACAGAAAAAGGAGATTAAATTTTTTCTCGGTGTGGTTTTACTGATTACCTCACATGCATCAACCTCTGCTCTAACAGTTCAAATTGCACTTTTTCCCCCCAGATTTTGTTTCATAATGAGAACTTAAGATTGGCCTGGTGGCTGCCAACAAAAGAAAGTGGCCTCAAGACAGTTTTGTTCAAAGTGCAGTCCAGATGAGTCTTTTTTAATTTTATTGCCAGAGTCTTAAAACGATAACTGCCTCCAACGGAAAACAAACCACAAAATGGAAAAGTTGTTCCTGCAAAACAAAGTCAACATCATCATTTTTTTTTTGTGTGTGTGTGTGTGTGTGTGTGTGTG